TGTAAGCTCTCCTTAGATCAATTTTTGTAAAGATCCTTGCATGTCCAAGTTGTTCTAAGAGACCAAAAATCAAGGGTAACGGATAACATTTCTTCTTTATTACCTTGTTGAGGCCTCGATAGTCCATGCACATCCACAACGAGCCATCTTTCTTCTTCACAAATAAGATGGGTGCTCCAGCTTACGATTTTGAATGACAGATGAAGTTCTTTGCTAGATTTTTGTCGATGTACTTCTGCAACTCCGCCAACTCCATCTGCGATAGATTGTAGATTGGGCCAAAAAACGGTTGTGTTCCTTCCTACAAGTCTATGGCGCAATCATATGATCGGTGTTTTGGTACCATGTCGGCATTCTTCTTTTGAAACACGTCTTTAAAATCTTTATATTGCTCAGGTATACTTGTTGTCGAGATCTTCTCTTCGGTAGTTGGAGCCGCATAAATGACAAACGGTGTGCCTTCCTTGGACGATCTTATAAATGCTCTTGCTGTAATGAATAAGGATTTCTCTATTCGGGATTTTCTACTAGACTTGCTTTTGGGTGGTTTTGTGGGAAAGGTCATCTTCCGCAACCTCCAATCTATGGATGGGTTATGCTTTTTCAACCAGGAAAGACCAAGAATAACAAGATTTGATGGGGTTCTAATAATATTGAAAATAATATGACTACTATGGCCCTTAAACGTCACTTCTATAGGTTTTGATTCATGGGTGACACTACCAGACAATAAAGGTCGTCCATCTATAACCTCAATGTGAATAGGTTTGGATTTTTGTACTAAAGGGATCTTATGACACTTCGTAAATTCTTCATCTAAGAAACAAGCAAATGCTCCTGAATCTAATAATGCTAAGTTTCTTAGTTTTTGAGGGCAAATAAGCAAAGAGATTGTAAAGCAAAGGGCAGATTGAGTGGAAAGAAAGGAACCTGGTTGTTGTTGCGATATTTCACTGTCCAGCCACACGGTTCCTATTGTGGCTGGGCATTCTCGTTTTCCTGAACAAACTCGCCCGTAGACCTGACTATATGTCGGTTTTGCTTCTTGGGGCAGTTTCCAACTGTGTGGCCTTTTTTACCACAATACAAGCATAGACCTTCGTCCATACGCCGCTTTTTTTCTTCTAGGATAAGGGATTTTATACGTACTGCATCAATTTGCATGTCTTCTACCTCTGAATGTGAATTCACACTGCTTGCCGATATAGTTGGGGCGTGGCAAACCATATGTTGTCTTGAACGTTGGTCTTGGCGGCGTTGGAATAGGCAGTTATCGCACTTCACAGCTTGGCTAGTATCTTCATTGAGCGTTTGTGGATCAGGAAGAGTTAACAGCAAATCCTTCACATCATTCCTTAAACCCCAATAGAATTGACTCATCAACGCTTCTTCATCCCAATTGATGTCGCATGCTAATTGCCTGAAGTCCGATGCATAGACTGATGTAGAGCGCATCCCTTGTCGTAGTGACCGGATCTTTGTTGTAGCCCATCGAACCTTATCATGTTCTCGAAATGCTTTCGCAAACGCCTCCAAAAAGGTTTCAAAGTTGTTTAGTATGGACGATTGTTTCTCAAACAAAGGAGCAAACTATGATAGAGCTTGCCCTGTAAATAAGGTTCCAACAAGCCCAATACTTTGTCGTATTACGTGCTTTCCTGCTCGAGAACGCGTCGGGTGTCTAGTTGTAGAAGGTAGTATGGAGATTCGCTAATATTCAAGCAGTTTATTGATTTTTGATTGTTGGAATATAAACAACTGTTAGAATATACCATAAATCTATACGGATGTCCTTCAACTGCTCGTCGAAATCCTTTTTGCCCCAACCTGTAGGTCTCTAGACGTTAAAGAGAACCTCGAACAACCCAAACTGCTAATCTTTGATACCGCTTTATACTCGCGATCTTGTATCCACTGATTGTCTCGTTAGATTAACCCAATAAATTTCATTCACTCCGCATACTCAATCCTATAGACACCCTTTTAATTCTTCATCACAGACGTAACTCGATTTCACAAAACAGTCAAGAACAATCACACCCACTTCATTAAAAATCCCGATTCCAGTACAACACTTCGACTATTCAGCAACGATTGCCTCAGTCTTCCCAAAACCCTATGAAGAAAAAAAACCTAATCTCTGTCTTTTTTTTCCGCCCCAAAGCATGAAGCTAGCTCTCCGATCCTTCTCCAAAAACTTATTCTCTCCCCTTTCATTTCTTAACCTATCTTCCCCTTTAACCCTAATTCTCCCCTCTTTCAAACCCTAGCCTCTGAATTTCTTCAATCTTCCGTCTTGGATCCAGAATTGGCTCCTGTTGTCAGAGCTTTTTCCTCCGTTTTTATCTTTAAGAGATCTTTTTACTGAAAACAACGTTCCCTGAAACGGCACAAAGAACAGGACAGCCTGAAACAGAATCGAAACCCCGTAATCGGGACCACATTGAGTCACCCGACCAATTCAGGTCTCATATTGGCTAAGAGGCCCGTAGTAAGACCTGGATGTTCCCGTAATTGAACCACATTGGGTTGCCCGACCAAGTCAGGTCTCATATTGGGTAAGAGGACCGTAATAGGACCTGGATTGGATGTCTTGAAATTGGATCCAATTGGCTCTTCAAACCAGGTTCACCCGTCGTTGAATTAGTCCTTTTCCTTTCTGTTGACTCCCGTTATTGGAATCGAACGGAGCATTTCAGTATGCCCCGGCTGACTGTAACGGGGTGACTGATCCTGGCCTCTCAGTATTTGCACTAGAATTGGTCGTTGCTCCCAATATTCGAAGTAACTGAACATTAATAAAAGTCCCCTTTCTTTATATTTTCACGATATACTCGTGTTACAACACGACAACGTGACTCCTCCGTTGGATAGCGTTCGGGTTGTAAAATTGTTATCAACCTAATTTGATTGACGAATCTTAGAAACTTGGTACGCGTACCATCGAACTTGTTTGGAAGGCTAACTTAGGGCTCCTTATGTTGTAGAACCAACGGTGCTTGTCGAACTTGAGGCAAAATTGCTTCTCCAAGTACAGAAATTTGAGGCTGGTGCAACCTAGATCGTGCCATCCCAAATGCTCCATCATTATGAAGCCTTGCTACAATTCTTCTAATCTCTGCTGTTCTTTGCGATAACGTAGCGAGGGCATTTATGATAGCATCCAACTTAGACTCCGAACTTTCCGTCATACTAATGTTTTGGCCTCCGGCCATTCTAAAAGAATGACAGAAATGACTCTACAAGAAGACAATATTGGTTTAGAAGAGGGTACTCCACAACCTCTAAAATGCCTCAAGAGCTTCAAAAAAAGGGATAACCCACTCTCTCCAAGAAGAATAAGACTTCAATATTGTAACAAAAGAAGTATCAGTTTAGAGGAGGGTAATCCGCAACCTCTAAAATGCTAGTACACTTCCAAGCTGAGGGATAATTTACACTCTAACGAGGAAGAAACTAACTTTGATATCTCAGGTGAGTGAAGTCTCGACAAACTGTCACGGACACAGAAATACAGACTCGAGATCTAACAAGAAGTTCGAGAAGAACTGGCAAGAACTAGATTAATCAGATGAATATAAGAACAACACGAGAGAGGTGAGCTAGAGCTCCAAGAAATGTGTTGTCGAGACTGAAGAATTCTTCAGCCTCGATTCTAATATATACTCCTATTTAGGAAGCTTCTCAAGCAACTTCTACCAATTATGAAGCTTCTAGAAGGTTCCAGAGACTTGCTTCTAGAAGGTTCTAGAAACTTATCTCTAGAAGGTTCTAAAGACTATCCTTAACATCTTCTACCAACTAAAAAGCTTCTAGAAGGTTCCAAAGACTTGCTTCTAGAAGGTTCTAGAAACTTGTCTCTAGGAGGTTCTAAGGACTATGTCCCTAACAATGTGTGAGGCACAAGAGGGTGTCCATGCAATGAAAGGAGGTCATCTATCTACCAATTTCATAAAAAAAGAGAGAAATTAGTAACTTTTAAGGCTTGTTGTTGATTGAAATATTTATATATATATATTTATATATATATATATATATATATAACCTTTTTTACATGGCTTAATAATAGGAAGTTTTTTGTTACCAAAAAACAACTTTAAAGGGCCATGGTACAAAAGCCCTATGAAGGTCTCATCTTGCATGAGGAAAAAAACTCTTGTATTAAAGCTTTGGTCTTTGGAAATGTTGTAAAATGAAACGAGGTTATGAAATAAAGTAAAATCATAGTTTATTTGTAGCTTATTTTTTAAAATATTATAATTATGAAAGATATATATACATATATAGAAACACATACATATTTATATTCAAGATATCACTATTTGGAAACAACTTTATTTTTACCTCATAAGAAAAAATTATGTAAACTTTTTTTTTCTTATGACCTTTAGCAAGATGTTTCTAAATGTGGAGCCAACCAAGTAAAATATTCGATTTTAATCAATCACACACTTTGAAAGTTGGGTATCAAATATACTTATAACCTACTGGAATGTATAGTAATTACATGAAGAAATCGTGTTCATTTTGGCAACAACACTGATTGTTGTGTTCACATGCAGTAGCTTTCTTTAGACCATTTAAAATTTAACTATCGTACGTGCAAAACGAATCATCTAAGAAATTTTGACTTACGATTTTTGTATTTGATTCTAAGTTTTTATAGAGAATAAAAGATGTGCAAATAGACTAGGAAGATTGTTATTAAAAACCATGACTTCAGGGAGGATCGGGTCACACCACAAAGCATATTTGACATAGTTTATCTCAACCAAACGCATCTGCATCTAACCTATGGCACAATATTCTAAGCTGGACCTAAACCCTAAACCTCATGTAAGTCGATCACTAGGATGGACGTTGGACAACCTCCATATCCTGAAACCCCAGTGAGTATATTACTAAAATGTACGCAGGACAGACACTAACACGTCGCCCGAATGCGCACTCAAATCAGCACACCTTATCTAGATATACATTCAAAGGCTAAAAAGGTCTTCTAATGGACCAAGTAATTACAGGCTTAGAATTCAGGATCAATGAGCAACTAAGCCAAAATATAACGACAAAAACCACTTGGGCGCAATAACTACTGATGACACGAAATAGATCGGAAAAGAGTGATGGGTTGTTGATCCACACCATCATCCTTACCTGCAACACAATTCACAGCGGATCCCAGAGTATATGGCAACTCGAAATAATGATATTACCTATGTGTACTGAAAAACAAAAGCCTCAGAAGTGCATGTATAGACTCATTTAAATCGTACTGAGACAGCATAGCCGCAGATACTGTGCAAAATAACTACAGGCATCGAAGCACGAAAACTCCTTGTGCTGCACGTTCAGAAGATTACAGTCCATTGAGGGCAAACAGTAACATCCCTGTCTTGGTCGTCCTAATTCTATGCGGTGCCCTCTCCGGATCATTTAAGCAGATGATGTTTCCTGGATAGGGTACTCAAACGTAACCTCCTTCCCTGTCAGCTTCTTGTATACTCCCGCGAAGGTGTCCAACTTGTACTCCGTCGTATTACGTTCCTTGGGGTCCAAATACACACGCATGATGCGGGAGCCATCCAAACGATAGCGCACCCTTTTGCCAACAATCTCAGAAGGATGAACCAAGTCTTCAAGAACAGCCTCGTGCACGGCTGTCAGGGTCCTGCTCCTTGGGCGGTTGACGGCTGAGCCCTTCTTCGGGGGTCTCAAGATACGCCTGGTGGCGATGATAACAACATCCTGCAAAAATAACAAGGGGGATTTTTACGAGTGATATTATAGCAGAACCCTAATTTGACAAAACTACATTTCAGCGACACTCCCAAATGTGTGCACCTCTGAACAACAGCAGGAAAGAGACTTGACAAGAGACCTGAACTCGGCTGCTTAAAAACTAAATCAATCCATCCCGACACAACAATTCGGAAGCCAGCACCCACCTTGCCGCTGAACTTCTTCTCCAGCTCTCTAACAAGGCGAGCGTGGATTTTCTGAAAAGCCTTCCGCAGGCGGTAGGGCACGTGGATGATAACGGCCTTGCGGTTTCCGGAGACATCGACTTCCTTGGCGGAGTTGATGAAGAGATCACGGAGCTCACTCTTGAGCTCGGAGCTGGTAGACTCCAGGTCGAAGAGGGCCTGAGCTACGGATTCCTCGAACTCATCGGGCTCCTGCCCCTTCTCCTTCTGGATCTTTCTACGCGCGGTGAAGGACATGGCGGCAGAAGTGGTTGAGCGTGCAGCAACTGCAATGGTGCGATGGAGCACAAGGCCGCTTCCTCCGATGCAAGGAACGCAAGTGCAAG